TGGACGCACGCTTCCGAGGAGGGCACACACAGCATTGGTGTGTCTCCGCTCGGGGGGGATGGGCGGATGCACCGACCCCCGATCGCCCACTGGTCGCCGAGAAGGGGCCCGATAGCCCCCACCTGCGCAGGAAGGTGCGGATGCACCCACGGGGGCCGATCGCCGCTCTACAGTCAGTGCGCATGGCGAGGAGGCGCAGTGTTCCGAGGACGCCCGTGCATCCCCCCCCCCTTGGCCCAGCATTGGCCGCTTTCGCTGGCCGCGCCCCGCCCGCGTGGCGTCGACGCGGCCTTCCGAGGCCCTTGCGTCCTTATCGCGCGCCCTTCTTCTGCGGGTTGACTGCATCGGCGATGCACCGCCGATTCCAGGCCGATTCATCCCCCCCCCTATGCCAGTCCCCCCCTCTCGTTGCCCCCCGTTCAGCGGCGAGCCCAGGGGGGAAGTGAGAATGGGCGGGCCTTCTCAGAAGGCTGGGAAGTACCCCGGCCTGCCGACAAGTTTCCTGAGCCTTCCCCGAAGACACCGAAGACCCTCTCTCAGAAGGCCGCAGGCCTTCTGAGAAGTCCCGCCGCCTTCTGAGAAGGCCTCCTCCCCCTCGCTTTCCTCCCTCGCTCGCCGCCGAGCAACTGGGGACAGGCGCGAGGAGACGGTCGCCACGAGGAACTGAAGAGGAGGAGGAGAAGGACGAGGGGGAGGAGGAGGAGGAGGAGGAGGAGGAGGAGGAGGAGGAGGAGGAGGAGGAGGAGGAGGAGGAGAAGGACGAGGAGGAGGAGGAGGAGGAGGAGGAGGAGGAGGAGGAGGAGGAACAATCTCGTTGACCCACGGCTCCGAGGCACGCCCGCGTCGTCTCGCAGCTCGTCTGCGGCCCGCCCGCCGCGAAGCCTCCGCGGTGGGGCGCCGGGACGCCGGAGCTCTCGGGGGCCGCGCGGCGGGGGCGGGGCGCCCCGGGGCCGCGCGGCCCGGAGGGGCCGGGCCCGCGGGAGGGAGCCCTGGGCTTGCGGAGCAGTGCGCAGGGCGCGGAGTCCTGCCGGAGGGTGGCGATGCAGCGCGCGTAGGTCAGGGGAGGGGGGAGGGGGCACCGGTGCAGGCAGGCTGTGTGGACACGACGTCCATGAGGCAGCGGCTACGAGAACGGGCGCAGCGAGCCCCCGCCACCGCAGAAGAACCGCAGGGAGACGGGCGGCAGGGACAAGGGCGGGCGCAGGCGCCGGTGCGGGTGGCGCGTCGCGCTCAGCCCGAGGGGGGGGGAGAGGGGGGGGTCAAGCTAGGTGCGCTCGCGTCATATCTGACGTCGTGCTCCTCCCTCCCATGCCTCACCATGGCGCAGGTCTCCTGTCGATTTGCACAACCGGACGTCGCGGCATGGCACAGCATTGCATGGCATAGTATGGTGTTGACGATCAACGCGTAGTATGACACAGCATGGCGTAACGATGCCCCAAAGTGGTGTGTGTGGGGGGGGCTTTTGCGGCACAAACAATCAACGAATGGACACCGAATGAATGATCACTTCCGATGGTTTTTTCGAGAGGCCAGTTTCCAGATTTTGGAGCCTATTTGGCAGGACCGAAAACCATGCCGTGGTATGGCGCTGGAAATCACGACGCCAGCGCTGCAGCGGGAGCACGATTCGGAGCGAGCGGAAGCGCGAAAATCAGGCCAGCGCTGCAGCGAGAGCACGATTCGGATCGAGCGGTGTCCCGGAAATGAAGCCAGCGCCTCAGCGAGAGCAGCATTTGGAAAAACCTAAGCGCAGACCCGTTACCCGGGAATCCTGTGTGTAAAAAACCAGTACGCGGAGGGGGGCTTGCCATTTTCCGGACGTCTCCGTTGGAGAGAGGAGAGTAGTATTCATCTTGTATAATTATTGAGGGGGGAGGGGGAGGGGAAGGGAAGGTTGGGGGGGAGGATTCACGAAACAGGCTCGCTCCTAGTGTCGGTCTAACGTTAATTGGGGGGGAGGGGGGGCGGGAGGGAGGGAGGGAGGGAGGGAGAAGGAGGGAGCAGGAGAGGCAGGGAGGGGGCAGGGGGGAGGGGAGGGGGCGAAGGATCTGGGAGGGAGGGGGGGAGAGAGGGGGGGCATGGGGGATCTTCCCCTCCCTCCCCCCCCCAAGGCGGCCAGAGGACTTAGCTGCTCCGCCCCCTTGGGGGTCTCTGCAGCCGCCCTCGTGACCATTGCTCTTACGGCTTCGGAGGCTGCCAGAAGGGTTCGGGGTTCGTTGGACAAGGTTGGTTTCGCAGGACCTGAGGCCCCCCCCCCCAGCTAGGCCTGAGGGCCCCCAGCTCGAGCTGAGGCGCCCCAGCAGCCGTCGAAGGCACCCTTTTTGAACCATACCTTCTCGCCGTTCCCGGAGTTCGATCACATCCCCCGCAGGGGCGTTAGCCTCTAGCGGGGGGGTGGCCGCGTTCGCATCAAATTCCGAGGCTGGCAGCGACAAGGGGGAGGGAGGGGCAGCGGCGGCAGGGGGAGCAGGAGGGAGGGGCCGGGGGAGCAGGAGGGAGGGGCAGAGGGGAGAAGGAGGGAAGGGGGGGGGGCGGAGGAGGGGAGGGAAGGTTTTGGAGGTGGACAAGGAAAGCCCCTGGATCTGAGAGCGAGCCCGCCGATCACCCGACACGGGCAGAAGAGGAGGGACCGGATGGGCTCGGGGCGGAAGGCTGCTCCTCGGGGGGGGGCCCGCCCGTCTCGCCCCCGTCGGCGTGTGCAGCAGGCACGCGAAGGGGCGGGGAGCTTGTTAATGCCGCTCGAGTCCGGCCCGCGCAGCGCGGGCAGAATTCGCACCACGAGTGCGGCGCCGCACCTCGAGGTGAGAATGGCTCCTCCTCCGTCCGTCCCTCCCTCTCTCCCTCTCTCCTTCCCCCCCCCTCCCCCCCGTCCTCCCTGGCACCGAGGCCCAGAGGATTGGGGAGGAGGAGGAGGAGGAGGGGGAGGAGGAGGAAGTGGAGGAGGAGGAGGAGGAGGAGGAGGAGGAGGAGGAGCAAGAGGAAGAAGAGGACCATGTGGATGAGGGGGCGAGGAAGCATGCGGAACAGGGGACGAGGAGCTGGATTTGCGGATGCAGTGAGGCCACCCTTGGTGCCCCAGTCCATCTGCCGCCTCTCTTTCAGATCGCCCTCCAGTTCCTCCCAGCTCTTCTTCGGTGAGGAGGAGCAGAAGGAGGAGGAGGAGGAGGAGGAGGAGGAGGAGGAGGAGGAGGAGGAGCAGGAGGAGGAGCAGGAGGAGCAGGAGGAGGAAGAGAACGGGGGTGGAGGGGGGAAGGGAGGAGGGGAAGAGAGAAAAGGAATATTCGGAAGATGACAGAGATGGGAGGGAGGGATCCGTCCTTCCCTTTTGTGGTGCCCCGTCCCGCCCCCCCCCCCCCCACTACACCCACCGCCTCAGAGTCCCCCGTACTTCCCCCTCTTATTCTCGATCCACCCCCACCCAACTTGCCCGCGCATATCTCTCTCTATCTGTCGCTCTCTCTCTCTCTCTCTTTCTCTCTCTCCTCTATTTCTCTTTGTTTATCCCTCTCTTCTTCTCTCTTTGTTTCGCTCCCTCTCGCTCTCTCCACACACACGCATATCTTTATATATGCACATAGATATGTATGCATCTATGCCGGTATTGCTGTATGGATGTTATGTTCGCTCATCATCTCCGCAGGTCCCGAGAGTGGCATTTCCTGCTCAGACGCAGTACGTGCCACGAGCTCGTGCTTGTTTGCGCTTGCTCTCTCTCTCTCTCTCTGTGGCTTTCTTGCCCGGCCCGAGCGCTCGCGGTCCTTCCAGACGGGTGCCCCCGACCGCAGCCTCCCCCCTCCCCCCCGTCCTCCCTGGCACCGAGGCCCAGAGGATTGGGGAGGAGGAGGAGGAGGAGGAGGGGGAGGAGGAGGAGGTGGAGGTGGAGGAGGAGGAGGAGGAGGAGGAGGAGGAGGAGGAGGAGCAAGGTCGTTCCGCCGGGCGCCACCGCCTCGGCGCGGGGATCGCCCGTCTGGATCCGACGTGCCCTCTCTTCGCGCGTCGCCTCCCCCCCTCCCCGCCTGCTCCTCCTGCGCCTTTGCCCCCGCTCCTATCCCTGCTCCGCCCCGTGGTCCTCCCCGCTATCCTCCCCGCTCCTGCCCCCCTGCAGCTCCGTCGTTGTCCTCGCCCCTTCCTCCTCCCTTTCCCCTCTTCCTGCGGCTGATCCTCCTGCCCATCCGCCTCCTCCACCTCCTCCTCCTCCTCCTCCTCCTCTTGCCCCCTGCAGCTCCGTCGTTGTCCTCTCCCTTCCCCTCCCTCCCCTCTTCCTCCTCCTCCTCCTCCTCCTCCTCCTCCTCCTCCTCCTCCTCCTCCTCCAATGTACACAGCTCCTCTCTTCCTTATCTTGCGCGTGTTGCGGTGCGGCCCCTCTGGATGTTCCAGGTCCGCCAAGACACCCGTTCGCGGATTGAGAAAACATCAGCAGAATGGGTAGGGATGGGAGGGAGGGGTAGCATAGCAGAAATGGCGCAAGCGCACCTAGCTTGTCGCTGATTCAGTTCGGGGCGGCAAGGGACGTTCCCTAGCGTCGTGCGGATGCGAGGTGGCCCCACAGCGCAGTCGGCAACGTTGGGTGTTACAGGTCTCCCGAGCAGTGTCCCTGTCAGCACGGCAGGACAGTTTTTCGTTAGGTCCCCAGGGCGTCGTGGCAAGCAGATGTATGATAAGTTTGTGATAATACCCTGAGAGCTCGATTCGATTCGATCCCCTCCCTTCTTCCCCCCTCCCCGCCGCCTTTGCTGCTGCCGTCGGAGTCGCCGTGGTCGTCGTGGTCGCTCCGGTCGTCGTGGTCGTCGTGATCGTCGTGGTCGTCATCATCGTCGTCGTTGAGGTCGTGGTCGTCGTCGTCGTCGTCGTCGTCGTGGTCGTCGTCGTCGTCGTCGTCGTCGTCGTCGTCGTCGTCGTCGTCGTCGTCGATTTTGATGTTGGCGACGGCGTCGACGCCTGCGTCGTCGCCGTCGATGGCGTCGTAGTCTTCCTCCCTCGGCCCCAGGGGATGGAATGGCCCAGGGCCTTCTGCTGGCGCTGCTGCTGACGCTGCCCCCGCCGCCCGCTGCGGCGTGGCCCTGCGCAGCGGGCGGAGGCCCCCGCTCGGGCGGGCGAGCGCGGCCTCGGGCCCTCGCCCTCGCCCTCGCCGTCGCCGTCGCCGTGGCCGTGGCCGACGTCGTCGTCGTCGCCGTCGCCGTCGCCACCGCCGTCGCCGTCGCCGCCGCCGTCGCCGTCGCCGTCGCCGTCGCCGTCGCCGTCGCCGTCGCCGTCGGCGTCGGCGTCGGCGTCGGCGTCGTCGTCGTCGTCGTCGTCGTCGTCGTCGTCGTCGTCATCGATGTCCATCTGCTGCCCTCTCCGTGCGCCTGCTCCTCCTCCTCCTCATTCTTCTCCTTCTCTAGCCTCCTTCTGCCCCTTCGACTGCTCCTCTTGCTCCTCTTGCTCGCCCTCCCTGCTGCTACTCCTCCTCCTTCTCCTCCTCCTCCTGCTGCTGCTGCTGCTTCTCCTCCGCGCTCTCTTCCTCGTCGTCCTCGCCATCGCCTGCTGCTGCTGCTGCTCCTCCTCTTTCTTCCCACTGATCCCCATGCTCATCCTCCTGCTGCTGCTCCTCTTCCCACTCCACTTGCTTCCCCTCTTCGGTCTTGGCCTCGGCGCACCATTTCGGGGCGCGCCGTTGGCGCACCCCGGGCTGAGGGCAGGCGTGGCGGAGCTCCACTCGGAAGTGCCTGGCGAAGCAGTAGGGGGTGCCCTCCTCTTGCTGCTGCTGCTGCTGCTGCTCATTGTCTTATTGCCTCTGCTCCTCCATTCCTTCTCCGTATAGATAACTTCTCCCTGTCGCACCCCGAGGCCAGTTTTTAGGGCGGGCCGGGCGTTTCGTCTGAGACTGCCTCACCATTTATGACTCTGAAGCTTAAACAGTGACAACAGTTTCACAGATGGACGGCGGGTCGCTTTCAACATGTGGCTCTCGCCTTAGCGCCGCGCACATTCGTTTAACACATTTGCAAGAGTTTGACGAATTGACGGCGGGTCGTTTTCAAAATGTGGCTCTCGCTTTCGCGCCGCGCACAGTCCTCATAACAATCTGCAAGAGCTTCACGGATTGAGGGCGGGTCGTTTTCAAAATGTGGCTCTCGCCTTAGCGCCGCGCTCATTCGTCATAACAGATTGCAAGAGTTTGACGGATTGTGGGCGGGTGGTTTTCAAAATGTGGTTCTCGCCTTAGCGCCGCGCACAATCGTTTTTTGGTTAAAACAAATTGCAAGAGTTTCACGGAGTCCCATCATCAATGCACCAGAAATCTTGTTTGGGAAGGATCCAGGATTATGCGGGCGCAACAGTTATGTTGATTCGCTGCGTTGAAGTCCAAAGAATGGCGTTCTGGCACAATCCTGGATCATCAAGACGCAGCAGTCAGGTTGACACGTGGCGTTGACATCCCGAGAACCTCCTCCTCCTCCTCCTCCTCCTCCTCCTCCTCCTCCTCCTCCTCCTCCTCCTCCTCCTCCTCCTCCTCCCCCCACCCCCCTGGCTCGCCGCCGAGGGGGGGAGGGGGGCGGAGTGGAGGAGAGGGCGCGAGGGCGCACAGATGACCGCGCGACGCTCCTCGTTGGGCGCGCTGCGCGACGTCCTGTGGCCTGCAGGCTGTGGGCCCGCGCCTGCAGGGCGGGCCCTCGCGGAGGGCTCCTGCGGGGCGGCCTCGGCCGGGAGGCCCCCACCCCGTCGCGCGCGAGTGCTCCCCCCCTCCGGCGATGCCAGGAGCGGCCGCCGCCCAGCGGGGCGCAGGCCTCCAGGCGTTGCGGGCGGTCCGTCCTCTCGGGCCGGCCGCCGCCGTCGCCGCCGTCGTCGGCGTCGCCGTCGACGACGACGGCCCCGCCGTCGACGACGACGGCGGTGCCGGCGGCGGCGGTCGTCGGTGTCGTTGACGCCGTCGTGGCCGTCGCGGTCTTCGTCGTCCCCGCTCCTGCTGCTGCTGCCGCCGCCGCCGCCGCCGCTGCTGCTGCTGCTGCTACTGCTGCTGCTACTGCTGCTGCTGCTGCTGCTCTCTTTCTCTCTCTCTCTCTTTATTGTAATGGCCTCCGGCCTGTGCCGCCGATCCGGGGCGTTCGGCGTGTTGCGATTCGACTATCCCTCTTCTCTCCCTCCCTCCCTGTTTTCCTCCCTCCCTCCCTCCCCCTCTCCCTCCCCAGATCCCTCCCCCCCACCCTGCTTCCCCTCCCTCCTTCCCCCGCCCTCCCTCCCCACAACCCTCCCCCCTTTCTCCCCTCCCCTCCTCTCCCACCTCCCCCCCCCGCCCACTTACCCCTCTCCGTAACGCTTTCTGCGGCGCACAAGGTATCCAGCTGCCTGCGGCAAGTCCTGCGACCGTGCCAGTCGAGCCTTCTCAGTTGCAGCAGCTCCAATTGATGAGGTTGTTGATGGCGGTGGATGGTGATGAAGATGCTGTTGGTGATGATGATGCTGATGCCGATGACGTTGACGACGATGATGATGATGATGATGATGATGATGATGATGACGATGATGATGTCGATGACGACGACGATGACGATGCTGATGACGACGATAACGATGATAAGGATGACGACGATGATGATGATGAGGATGACGATGATAAGGATGACGATGATGAGGATGACGATGGTGGTGTCTTCGATAATGACAAATAGGATGATAGGGACGAGAAGGGTGGTGACGTGGTGACGACGGTTGGGAAAAGTTGGAGGAGGAGGCGGGGGAGAGGCAGGTTCAGTGTTGTGGGCCTGTAGCCGTCGAGGTCCAAGCTTATTCCACACCTTTGCTTTGAAGTCTGTATCCCAATGGCGGTGGCGAAAGGGAAGGCGCCCGCGAAACGCAGAGCCATAGCAGCCTCACGCGGCACCGCAGTGCAAGAGGATGCAGAGATTGAGGGCGAGCCGGCTGCGACTCGGAGGCCACACGAGGTGAACAAGAAGGCTGGACTGGCGAAGCCCATAAATGAGTTGAAAAGGCATCTGCGTGCCTCCCTCGTAGGGCACTTGGAAGTATTGCATCTTGTTGCAAAGCATGCCGGGCCACAGCGGGCAAGCGAGGCTGAGAAGGCACTATCGCGGCACAAAAAAATTACGTGTTGCTGGGGGTGTGATGACGGGGAGGGGAAACCTGAAGCAGACTGGAATCGCGTAGGCCACAGTGCTCTTGCGAGTTTGGAACACTTAGAACGGTGCATAGCTGCAGCGGGTGTCGCCGGGCAGGCTTTGCAGGGGAAGCACGTGTCGATGGTGTTGCGGAACACTGATGAAACAGCAAAGCAGCTCCGGAAGGTCAGGCCGAAAAGTTCGAGAGCGAAGGCAGCTGGCGTGGATAAGGCGAAGTATACGCAATCGTGGAAGGACAGTGTCGCGAAGGCCCGGGCTGAATTAGGGTTGCCAGGCAACGCGAGTTTTGCTAAAGGAACACCCTTGTACAAGAAGGCGAAGGAATTCCACGACGAAGCGAAGGAGCGCGCACTTGCGTGAGGTAGTCCTGGTCTCTGCGACATGTGAGCATAGGGTTGTAGCGACGCCGCTCGGCGGATGGAGCGACCCCCGCGCTCGCGTGAGGTAATCGAGGCATCTGCCAACAGTTAGCATGAAGTAGTCGCGACACCGTTCTGACGGAAGCGCGCGAGACCACGCGCGGACACTGAAAATCGAACCACATCTATCCACATCATCGTGCGTAGTTAGTTGCCTGCGCAGGACACACTTGCGCGCACGTGCGCGTGCGTGTGCCGTTCCACGCAGGACACGGCGGGCACGGCGGCGACGGCGCGGCGACGGCGCATGGCTTGAGGGGGCCCCCGACTCGGATTTCCATGGGAGGAAGCGTTTGTGGACCCCGACTTCCAATACCGATTTTCAGGAATTCTGGGAAATCTCCGAGTCGGAAAATGGCGCCGGGGAGCGCCGAGGAGTGCGATGGAGTAGGGAGTATGTGTTTTTTGGACCCCCGGGACCTCCACAAACGGATTTCCAAGACCTCCAGAAATGTCCACATCGCCAAATTGAGGAGTGCGACGCAGTCGGGGGATGTGTTTTTTGGACCCCCAGGGCTTTCGAACAACGAGCTGACGAGACTTCCGGAAATATCCAAATCGAAAGAAAGGGCGCTGGGGAGTGCCTAGTGGGGGGGCCCTGGAGGAGTCTGGACTTCGTCGCCGTCGCCGTCGCCGTCGTCGGAGGGCCCCAGAAAAAGTTCCCGGGGGGAGGATCCCATAGGAATGCAGAGGATCTACACTTCTGAGCGCCATTTCTTGAGCGCATATACTGAGGGCCACTCTGTCAAAGCAGCGAATCCGCGACCTTCTGAGCGCATATACAAACTACAGAGAATCTTTTTGTAAAAGCAGCAAATCTGCAATGCCCTTGAGTGCATCTACAGACGGTCCTTCTGTAAAAGCAGCAAACGCGCCGCTCGTCGAACGCATCTACAGAGGGCCCGTCTGTAGAACCAGCAAATATCGCAAGCAACTAATGCCCATGAGCGAATCTACAGAGGATCCCCCTGTAAAAGCAGCAAATCCCGCGCGGCACCCCCGGAGCGCATCTACAGAGGGCTTCTCTGTAAAAGCGCGCGTCCCCCCCCCCCCCCTCCACTCCAGAGCGAAGCTTGAGCAAACTCAAGCCCTCGCTCTCAGAAACTCACACTCCGGATCGGCGGATTTCTTTATTTCTCTCGTTATACAATGTTTGTTAATTTTTCTTTATGTATTTCTTTTTTTGTTTCTCTCTCTCCCTCTCTCTCTCTCTCTTTATCACAGTCTGCTCTGTGTGTGTGTCTCTCTCTCTCTCTCTCTCTTTATCTCGCTCTCTCTCTCTCTCTCTCTCTCTCTTTCTCGCTCTCTCTCTCTCTCTCTCTCTTTATTGTGTATATATATAATTTACCTCCCTCTCTCTATCCATCTCTCTCCCCTGTGTGTGTGCGCCGTTTTACCATATGCTTTAGACCACATGTAGGCGTGCGAAACTGGAGGGGGAGCGAGGCAGACGAAGAGGCGGACGCATGAGGAGGACAAAGGAGGAATGGAGGAGGAGGGGGAGGAGGAGGAGGAGGAGATGCAGGAAGCGCTATGAGAATACATCTCCCTTGCTTTTCCCTCCCACCTGCTCCCGCTGCTGCTCCTCGTCTTGTTCTCCCTCCTGTTCGGCCTCGTCCTCTCCGTCCTGCCTCCCTCCCTCGTCCATCGTTCCTTCTTCGTCCATCCTTCCTCCTCCCCTTCCTCCTCCCTCCTCCTGATCCTCCTCCCTCCTCCTTCGTCCATCCTTCCTCCCTCATCTTTCTCCTCCCTCCTTCGTCCCTCCTTCCTCCTCCCTGCTCCTCCTCCTTGCCCTTGCGGCTTTGCTTTGCCTGCCCATTCTCTGCCTTCCGTTGGCTCTTCCAGCTGTTCTTCCTGCTCTCTCGCGCCCCTCCCCGCGCTCCCTCTCCCAGCTGCCCCACCTCTGCGCCTTTCCTTCGCCCCGCTCCCCTCCACAATTACACAATATGAATACTACTTTCCTCTCTTCCCTGATGACTTCCTGAAGAGATCTGGTCCCCCTCCGCGTACTGCGACCCACGCACAGGATCCCCGGGAAACGGGTTTTTTTTTGTTTTTAATATATTTTGTTTAATAAAAAAAGTGTTGCACCCGCTGAAACGCTGGCCTCATTTTCGGGCTTCCGCTCGTTCCAAATCGTGCTCCCACCGCAGCGCTGGCCTCATTTCCGCGCTTCCGCTCGTTCCGAATCGTGCTACCGCTGCAGCGTTGGCCTAATTTCCGCGCTTCCGCTCGTCTCGAGTCGTGTTCCCGCTGCAGCGCTGGAGTCATTGTTTCCAGTGCCATGCCACAGCATAGTTTTCGGACCTTTCAAATCGGCCCCAAAATCTAGAAAGTGTCCCCCCGAAAAAACCATCGGAAGTGATGATTCATTCGGTGCCGACTCGTTGATTCTTTATGCCGCAGAACCCCCCCACATCACTTTGGGGCGTCGTCACGCCATGCTATGTCACGCTACGCGTTGTTCTACAACACCATGCTATGCAATGTAATGCTATGCCATGCTGTGACATCCGATTGTGCGAGTAGAGAGGAGATCTACGCCATGGTAAGGGATGGGAGGGAGGGGGTTGGACGTCAGATAGGACGCGAGCGCACCTAGCGTGTCTTCCCCCCCTCCTCTTCCGCCCCCCCGCTGCGCCCTCCCTTCTTCCTTCTCCTCTCCTCCTGGCCCCCTGCACCCTCCCCTCTCCGCCCTCCCCGCTCTGGCGCCGCGGCGGGCGGCCACAGCCCCGCCGGGGGCAGTCGTAGTTCGCCTGGCAGCCCTCGCCCACTCGGAGGCGACGATAGGGGCGAACAGCCCAGGGGGGAGCAACACATGTATCCAGGGGCGCCGATGATCTATGTCTTCGGCAAGGCTCCTGGGCGAATGCGTGTAACGCCCGCCCCCAGGCTGTTGGCCCTTATCGTCGCCGCCGACCCTCCACTCCTGTTGCCCTCTCGCTCGCGGCTCTGCAAACCGTGCCGCGCGCCGGGCGGAGGCCTCCTCCGCTCCCGCCACTTTCGCGCTTCCCTCCTCGCGAGCTCTCTCGGGGCGCGTCCTTCACACCAGCGGCGGCACGACTGCGCACGAGGGCACGAGTTCGGCATCGTTTAACCAATCCCCATCCCCATCCCCATCCCCATCTAGGAGGGTAAAATCGGCCAGTGGGGCCCAGACCAGGCCGCTGGGGATGGGGATCGGTTGAACGATGCTCACGAGTGCCTCTCCGGTGGGCACTTCGCCGCCCCCTGCCGCGGTGGCCAGCGCTGGTCGCCCAGCTTTCAGTGCGTCGGCTGTCGGTGCCCGAGGCCGCCTGCGCGCTCCTCGTGGCGAAGGTTCTCTGTGCCTGGGGCCTCCCCCCGCGTTCCCCCCCCTGCGCGGCCGCCTGGCAGCGTGCTTCTGCCTGGCGCGGCCCACTGGCGGATCGACCACGCTGGCCTCCGCCTGCGCCGCTGACCGGTCCAGTGAGGACACGGGCATCCGGTGGGGCGGGTCCAATCGGACCGAAGTCGCCCCTCTGGCACATGTTAAAGAGGGAAGGCTGCCCACAGCGAAGGGGAGGGCTGGTCGCAGCCAGGGAAGTGGGAGCGCCGAGCGAAACGGCTCCAGAGGATGAGGATGAGGAGCGTGATGAGGTGAGGGAGGACGGAAATGATGGTTGAGTAGGAGGAAGGGGGTGGTGATGATGAGGAGGATGTTGGAGATTATGATGATGATGATAATGAGGACGATGAGGATGACGGCGATGATGATCAGAATATTGTTGATGATGGTGGTCAGGACGATGATGGTCATGGTGATGATGATGGTGATGATGATGATGATGGCAACGACGACGATGATGATGGTGCTGATTGTCACAATGATTTTGGTGATACTGATGATTGTGGTGATGATGATGATTGTGATGGTGATGGTTGTGATGGTGGTGATGATGATGACGAGGATGATGATGATTCTGATGATGGTGATTATGATGCTGATGATGGTGTGGCCATGACGATGATGACGATGGTGATGATGCTGCTGCTGCTGATGAGGAGGAGGAGGAGGAGGAGGACGACTGCGGCGAGTATTGCAGCACCCCGCCGCGTGTCGCAGCACTTGCGAGTGAGACAGGAGCGACCTGTCCCAGGCACTACAGGCTCAGAGAAACCTTCGCGATGATGGTTATGATGATGCTCGTGCTGACGATCATGATGATGATGGTGATGATGGTGGTGGTGGCGAGAACGGTGACGATGATGTTGATGACCATGATGCTGACGATGCTGATGGTGATTATGATGGTGATGATGGTGATGATGATGCTGATGATGATGAAGATGATGCTGATGCTGATGCTGATGCTGTTGCTGCTGGTGGTTATGCCGATGACTAGGAGGAGAAGAAGGAGGAGCAGCAGCAGGAGGGAGTGGGTGTAGAGGGACTGGGTGAACTTTGGGAGGGGGAGGAGGAGGAGGAAGGAAGGAAGGAAGGAATAAAGGAAGGAAGACGAGGAAGAGAAGGAGGAGGAGGAGGAGGCGGAGGAGGACAGATGGGAGGGAGGGAGGACAGGGGCGGAGGAGGAGGAGGAGGGGGAGGGATGAGATGCGGTGAGCCTGCGCCCGCGTGCAAGGTGCGGGGCGGCAGCGCCCGCACGGGCGAGCCGCGCTCGGACGCCCCGCCAGATGCGGCCCCTGGCGCGCGAAGGGCCGCCCCCGCGCCGCCCTCTGCGGCCGCCGCCGGCTGCTGAGCGCCTCTGGCGGCATCGCTCGGTGGCGTGTATCCTCCTCCTAATCCTCCTCCTCCTCCTCCTCCTCCTCCTCCTCCTCCTCCTCCTCGTCCTCCTCGTCCTCCTCCCCAGCTCCATCCTCCTCCTCCTCCTCCTCCTCCTCCTGCTCTTCCTCCTCCTCCTCCTCCCCAGCTCCATCCCCTTCGAGACCCCCACCAAATTACCACCCCAGTTGGGGATGCACCCCTCGACACCCGAAGAGAGCGACCTATACTGTATCCCCCTCTAGGGGGGTACATCGGCCAGCGGGGCCCAGGCCACGCCGCTGGGGATGGGGATCGGTGAAACGATACTCAGTCGCTGGGGCTCGGGACGATCGAAATGGAGATGCAAATGAGTGGCACGACGATCAGCAGCAGTTTCTCTTCATTTTGAACCCAACTCGCTGTCGGTGTCGCCGCGGACGTCGTCCGTTTCAGAAAGAAGGCCGCCTGCAGAACAGCGACCGCTGCCGGGTTCGGACAATATTTGCTGTTTGGCACTGTACCCGTATTTTCCGTATGTGCTAGTTTTCGGCGTTCAAAGAGGCGAAGCCCGCGCGCCCATGTACTAGTGGAGATAATTCCAGACACTTCGCGTAACCCCACCAGCCCATCCAGAAACGATGCCCAGAGGAATTGCCTCGATCAGGGAAGAAGGCAGCACACAGAGGAAGGGTCCCCCAGTGGAGGCCTCTTGGAGCGTCTTGGGGGCCTCTTGGCGGTCCCGGACGCCTCTTAGAGCGTCTTGGGTGCCTCGGAGAGCTTCTTGGGGTCTCTTGGGGTTCTCTTGGGAGCCTCTTGGAGGCATCTTGGGCGCCTGTTGGGGCCTCCTGGGGCCTCCTGGGCGCCTCTTGGGGCCCTCTTGAAGCGCTCTTGGGAGCCTTGGGAGCGCTCTTGGGGCCATCTTGGAGGACATCGTGCAAACAAGAGGGGAGCATTAATTAGCGTTGCCCCTCCGTAGCCCAAAAAGTCGCCTCTTGGGGCACTCTTTGGGCGCTCTTGGAGCGCTCTTGGGCGCTCATGGGGTCGTCTTGGGGCTCTCTTGAGCCTCTCTTGGAGCCCTCTTGGGCCATCTTGGAGCCATCTTGAGGCCTCGGATGGCCATCGGGAGCGAAAAGGCGAGATAGCTAAAACACTTCTTTTATTAAGGTTTTGGAAGGATTTGGGCCTCTTCGGGGCCTCCTGGGGGAGCTCTTTGGCCACTTGGAGCCGTCTTGGAGCGGTCTTGGGGCCTCTTGGAGCATCGTGGGAGCCATCTTGAGGCATCTTGGGGTATCTTGAGCCATCTTGGAGGTCATCTTGGGCTCTCCCAGGCGTTCTTGGAGTCATCTTAAGCAGTGCCCTCCTCAGGAGGCCAAAACCGTAGTAACATTAGTGATTTTGGCATTCTCGCCGAGGCCTCTTGGAGCGTCTTGGGTGCCTCTGGGGGGCCTCTTGGGGCCTCTTGGGGGTCTTTTGGGAGCCTCTTGGGGGCATCCTGGGGGCCTCTTGGGGGCCTCTTGGGGCCTCCTGGCCACCTCTTGGGGCTTCTTGGGGCACCCTGGGAGCCTTGGGGACCATCTTTGGGCCATCTTGGGTGAGATCGATCAGAGGAGGGGAGCTTCCCAAGTAGCCCGGATGCCAAAATGGGGCCAAAACCTTAGTAAAACTATTGATTTGGGCTTCATCACCGAGCCGTTGTGGACGCTCCAACTACTCGCGGACCCCCCCGTCCATGTCCAGGGTGAAGGGGGTTAGAAGAGGAAGCTCTTTAGACAATCTACGCCCTAAAGGGCTGGTGGGATTATACTGGTGTTGATGGCCTTCCCTTGTTCTTGTCCGTGTGGGTCTCCCGGGGGGGCCCTCAGGCGCAGGCATCTGTCGCCGCGCCTCTGTCGGGGCTCTCTTGGGGGTTTCTGGGCGGCCTTTGGGGGGTCTTGGGTATAGTTTGGCTTCCATTGGTTTGGCTGTGGCGCGCTTTTTGTTGCCCCCTCTTGGCAACGTCTTGGAGGCCTCTTGGGCCCACCTTGGTGCTGTATTGGGGCAATGTTGAAAGGTTCGTGGGGACCCCCAAGGCGGCTCCTGGATGATGCCTGGGACGATCTGAGGGCATGTGGGAAGTGGGCCACAACCACGCTTCCGAGGCGTAGTAAAATTCATGCGGGGCACCCCAGAAGCGTCCACGGACGCCCGGGAGCGCCCGGGAGGTGGGGGTCTGGGGCCCGTGAAGATTGGGTTCAATCTTCCACATGGCGGCTTGAATGACTTCGAGGATACTCTACTTAGTGCCTTCGTCACGGTGGCAGATCCGTTCTTGTCGAGGGATGGATGTTTTCGGTGAAGCATGGGTTAACCTACCTTTGCATAGCTGGCTAGTCGAATTGGAGAATGCATTCGGGTACATGGCTGAGTTTTCACCGAACATTTCCGCGGCGTCGCAGATGTATCCCAGATTTAGACAAATGCTTCCGTGATTTGTGAATTCGTCCACCTACTTCCCTATAATCTCTAACCTCCTGCCCCCTCCTCCTCCGCTTCCTCCTCTCTCGTTCGTCCCACTGGTGCAAATTGCTTCTGCGCGATCCGAATTCAGCGCTCGCTTGAGCCACGCGGATTAACGACAACGCTGCTTCGGAATCAGACGAGCGTGGGTCGTCGTCGTTGTCGCCGCCGTCGTCGTCGCAGGCCACGTCGTCATCGCCGTAGTCCTCGCCGTCGTCCTGTCTCAACGCGGGCATCCGTGGTGTCGGCGCGCCGCGGGGCCCCCCCGACATCTCCGTCCCTCCTCCCGACTGCCGGCTCCCTCGGCCCCTCCCCCTCGCTGATCCTGGAGAGGCCCGGGGGCAAGAGTCGGGTCGGGCGAAAGGGGGGAATAGCAAAGGGGGGGTTTGAGAATCAGCTCACGTAGCTGATTTTTCCGGCGCCTCCCGGCGCCGGAGGCGGCCATGTCTCGAGGAATGGGCACCTCGGTGAGGCCGAAACCAGCTGCATGCAGCAAATTTCGTATCCCCCCCTTTCCCAATCCCCCCCTGGCGCCCGGCCCGAAGAAGGCTTGCCCAGCTCGCGCGCACGCGAGCCAAGGCAGCGCCGCCTCGAGCCTGCCGAGGCGGCGAGGCCTCTGGGCCGCGCGATCGCCCGGCCCTCGGCGAGGCCGCGGGGGCCTCCGCGGACCCCGCGGGGGGCCCTCGGCGCCTCCCGCGCGACGACGGCGACGACGGCGACGACGACGACGACGACGACGACGACGACGACGTCGACGACGACGACGTCGACGACGACGACGTTGACGTTGACGTGGGCGACGACGTTGCCAACGGCGTGAACGCTCCAGGGATGCCAAAACTGGGGCCGCGGCAGATGGGATGGGGTGCCGCTGGAACGCGCCGCATCGCTGATGCCTCGGCCGTGCAGTCAGACGTCGCTGAAGTAGCCTAGGTCGTGGAGCCTACCCGTGGCGGGGGCTCGCCGCTGCCCGGAAGGCCCCGTCGTTCCTCATTCGGCGCCCGATTTCTCCGCCCCGGCGTCGCCGATGCACCGTCGGAGCCAGGCTGCAGCGCAGAGCAAGGCCCCTTCGCCAGAGCTTCGGTGCGCGGCTCATCATCATCATCATCATCATCATCATCATCATCATCATCATCATCATCATCATCATCATCATCATCATCACCATCATCATCATCACCGTCATCATCATCACCGTCATCAGCAATGTCATCGTCACCATCGTGATCGTCATCGTCATCGTCATCGCCATCATCATCGTCGTCATCATCATCAGTATCATCATCGCCGTCGTCATCATCATGATCATCTTCACCATCATCGTCATCATCATCATCGTCATCATCATCATTATCATCATCATTAGCATTATCATTATCATTCTCACCATCATCATCGTCATCATCATCACCATCATCATTATCAATGATCATTCTCAGCAGCATCAGCATCGGCATCGGTATTAGCATCAGCATCATCATCAGCATCATCATCATCACCGTCATCATCATCATCGCCTTCGTCGTTGTCTTCGTCGTCGCTTTCGTCGTCGTCAGCAACATCATCATCATCGTCATCATCGTCATCGTCATCATCATCGTCATCATCACCAACAACACCATCGTCGTCGTCGTCATCACCGTCATCAGCAATGTCATCGTCACCATCATGATCGTCATCGCCATCGTCATCGCCATCATCATTGTCGTCATCATCATCATCATCATCATCACCATCATCATCATCATCATCATCATCATCATCATCATCATCATCTTCATCTTCATCATCATCATCATGATCATCATCGTCGTCGTCATCATCATCATCATCATCATCAGCAGCATCACCATCATAGTCATCGTCATCATCAATGTCATCGTCACAATCATCATCAGCAGCAGTAGCAGCAGCAGAAGCAGATGACATGGACCCGCCCCGAAGCGCCAGGGTTGTCGCGGCAACATGCCGGATGAGCACTGCGGCGGAGGGGCGCCCAGAGTGCAAGGTCCTTGGGATCGAGCTGGACAGCGCCACCCTCGCGGCGCAGTTTGACGCCGCCTCCCGGATCACGGCCGCTGTGTGCGCTGAGCTTCTGCTGCTGCAAGACGCGCACGCGGGGCTCGACCTGTTGCGCGCTTCCGCCAACGCCAGCAGGGTCGTCCACCTGCTTGGCGCGGCTGGGCCCGGCCTGGATCCCTCGCAGGCAGCTGCGTTCGACCGTGGGCAGCGCCTCGCCCTGGGAGCCATCTTGGGGGCTCGCTCTCAGTCAGGGTGTGGTCGCAGGCGTCCGGGGCCGCGGAGGCCAGGGGTCTCGGGCTACGGAGCGCCGCGGATCTGCGCCTGCCTGCGTTCCTGGCCCGCGGGGCAGAGGCGCGCAGCTTGGCCGAGGACCTTGCGCGGCTGCTGCCAAGCCCCGTCCGCGACCCTCTGCTCGCGCACTGGTCTGCGACGACGCGCGCGGCCCTGGGCGAGTGGTGCGCGCAGCTCCCGCCGCCGTCCGCTGAGGTGGCCAGGCAGAGCCTCGAGGCAGAGGCCGAAGAGGCCGCCTGGCGCCTTGCGCGGAACGCCGGGTTCCTGCCGCGGGGTTCGGCCGGGGATGGCGACGAGTTCACCAGGTGCGCCGCCAGCGCGCTCCTGCTGCACGGCCCCGACGACCCCGAGCACCCAGACGCGCAGGACGGCTTGCAGTCGCGCCTGGCCGGGTTGGCGTCGGGCCCCCGCCTGGCGGCCCTGCGCGCCAGCGCGCGTGATTCCGAGGACTGGGAGGGCGGCCGGATTGTCGACGACCTCACGCACCCAGAGTGTTTGACCACCGCTGTTGGTCCGTACGGCGGTTGACGACGCTGCGCTGTCCCCCTCGGAGTTCGTCATCGCGGTCTGGCTTCGCCTCGGGGCAAGCCTCTTGGGCGCCCCTGCTGCATGCACGAGATGTGATGGCCGGCTGGACCTGCAGTGCTGGCACGCGTTCCGGTGCGCCCCAGGACCGGCCACGCGGGGGCACGACAAGGTCTGGGACTCGCTGCTCTGGCTGGCGTCCCTGGCTGACGGCGGCGCAGTCGCAGAGCCCCGCGGCCTGCTGACGTCGGCCCTTCTGCTGCGACCGGCTGACCTCCTCACGGACGAGGCCTTTGGCTGTCTGACGGCGCTGGACGCTGGCATCGCCAACCCAAGTGCTCGCACGGCCGCAGTCGACGACTGCGACTCCATGGCGCCGAAGAAGCTCGAGCAGTGCGGGCCGTGCTTGAAAGAGCTGGCGGAGGATGGCGTCGAGTGCTGGCCCGTGGTGTGGAGCTGCCGGGGGTGGCCGCACGCCGACGCCTCGGCCGCGGTGCGCCCCATGGCCCAGTCTGCGGCCCGGTGCCACGGGGCCGTGCGCCCCCAGGACCTCGGCCTGCTGGCGCGCGGCGCCATCGGGGTGCAAATTTGGAAGCGCGCCGCGCGCATGGTGGCAGCCTGCCAGCCGCCCGAGCGCGGCCCCACTGACGGGCGGCGCGGCTGGAGGGGGGAGCGCGGCGGGTGGCCAGTCGGCCCAACGAGGCCGGCGGCGGCGGCGGACCTGGCGGCGCGCCCCTGGACGCGTCCGCGCCGAGGCGTGCAGCCAGGAGGCTCGGCGCGGCCGACGGTGGCGGTGGGGCGCTCGCCAAGCTGAGTCGCCCGAGCCATTTGCGCGCGTTGCGAACTGAGGGCCGGCCCAGCTCGCAAAACCATTGCTGCTGGGCCCATGGCGGCCATCGGTGGTCCTCCGTCTGGGTCCAGGGGTTCTCACGTCCGCTGAGCCCGCTGGGGCTCGGGCGGGCGGAGGCGGCCTGACCGCGACGCCCCTGGTGGCCTCAGGCGTCAGGGGTCGCAGGGGGGACTGCCGCAGTTTCGCGTCTTGGGTCCGTCCTCGTCGCCGCGAGCCCTGGGGTGGCCTCGGGCCTTCGGTTCGGCCTTGCACGAATTGAGACACAGTGCGGTAGGTGAGCCCGCTCCCGACCCCTGCCAGGTAGCGCCCGATCACTTTCACCATTACCTTCACCACCATGAGTAAGAACAGTTTCATTACCATCACCATCGCTCTCACCACCACCATCGCCATCACCACCACTATCACCACCATCACCATCATCGTCACCATCGCCAGCATCATCACCACCACCTTCACCATCACCGCTATCATCATCACCATTACCATCACCATCGTGATGCTGATGGCGCTCATCTTCATCAACATCATCACCAACATCTCCATTGCCACTATCGGCGGCATTATCATCATCATCATCATCACCACCATCGTATCATCATCATCATCGTAGCATCATCATCAGCAGCAGCATCATCATCATCATCACCATCATCATCATCATCATCATCATCATCGTCATCCTCATTATCATGCGCCGCTGGGCGCCGACGATCGCGACGAGGCCGCTGCCGCCGTGCTTCGGCGGCGGGCGCAGCGCCGCGCCGCCCTCGCGCCGCGGAGGCCCTCGCCGCGGGCGCGGCGGCCGCCCTCGTCGGCCTCGCGGCCTCGGGCGCCCGGGGCTCCCAGGCCGCGGGCGGCGGAGGCGCGCGCCGCTGTCGTCGTTGTCGTCGTAGTCGCCGTCGTCGCCGTTGTCGCCGTCGTCCTCGCCGTCGTCGTCGTCGTCTTCATCGTCGTCGTCTTCATCTTCGTCGTCGTCAACGCCATTCTCAACGTCAACGTCAACGTTGCCGCCGCACAGAAATCACGGCGTGAGGTTTTTGCCGTCTTTAGCCTTTGGGGGCCCTCGCGGAGCCCCAGGGCACTTAAACAACGATTCGGGACGAAAAACCAGTCCTGGGGAATGGGCCGAGACCTCCAGGGGTCCGCGCTGTGGAAATATCACGACTTCTGGGGTCTAGGGAGGCATGTTTTCAGGCGCGCCAGATCTTCGAGGCACCGTCCTCGCCAAGTTGGTCTTCAGCTTTGTTCCGGGCGGCCGTCCCGCAGCGGTGGTCCTTCGTTCGTTCGTCTGCTCCGCCTTCGGCCGCTTCTCCTCTTTCCCGCCTTCTTGCCTCGTTCATTCTCGTCGGCCTCCTCTTCGTCGGCTGCCGTCGCCGTCGTCATCATGTAGCTCGGCGTCCGCTGGCCATGACCGCCTGTGCTGCATTTGCATGGCCCCCTCGTGCCATGCCGTTGCGATGATCAATCGCCAAGCTCTCCTCGTTTTGGTCCTGCGTTTCTTCAGAAGGCAGGTGGCATGCCCTCCCCCTTCAGATGTGATGAACCGCCTCCTGCCCCCACAGTCCCGTCACAGCCCAAACGAGCACCCAAGTAGCGTCCGACAGCTTCGGTACCCACTTGTCGACAACGGCGGAAGTCGCATTACTTCTACCAATCGTCGATCCTAGAAGCCTCAGCCCTCGGTCGTCGGCGACGACAATGACGACTACGCTGTGGGGTAGGGCCCCCTGTGATTTCGAAAGGGGCTCGGTGTGTCTGTTGTTCTTGTAACAATGGTCGTCTTCCTCTGCCGATCCTCGTGTATCTTGGTCTCGACGGGGGCTCCTTACCCAAGGTTCCTTACTGAACTCCTTCTCTTCTGGCTCCGTCGTGCCATTTCCAAATGCCAGATATCCGGTCGCCGTCGACGACGGCGAAAGTTGCATTATCTCTACCAGTACTCGATCCTCGAAGCCTCGCCCGACTAAGTTCGATCGCCGACGACTGCGATGAAGACGCCGACGACCATGCCGACCACGACGACGACCACGACGACCACGACCACGACGACCACGACGACCACGACGGCTAGGTGCATCGACGGAAAAGGCATAAACATACATTTTCGAAGGCGTGCGCGGATTTGATGGATTTGCGCTGGACCCCTCTGGCAGCGCCTTCGGCGACGCCCTTGGCACGCTCCACTCGCTAGGGAGGGAGGAGTCCACCGCCGCTAGAAGAACCGAAACTGTGTGCTTATGTTAAGTCGGGCGTGTCCCTCTACAGGAGGGATATACAACAATAGTCAAACCATAGTCAGGGGACTAAAGAAAAAAGAAAGTAGTTTCAATTATGTTTGAACATGTTTTGGCAATTCAAATTTTTTCGTCCAAAATTTGCCTGTAGGGGGACATGCCCGACCTAATGCTTACGCCGCTTTCCCTTCGTGGGCCTCCCCGCGCGCGGGCACTTCTTCGTCATCCTCACCAGCACAATCGTCATGATCATCGCCAGCGTTACCATTGCGACTGCCATCATCATCATCATCGTCATCATCATCATCATCATCATCATCATCAGCATCAGCATCAGCATCAGCATCAGCATCAGCATCAGCATCACCACCATCATCATCCTCATCAGCATCAGCATTAGCATCAACATCAGCAGCGTCATCGTCATCATCGTCATCCTCGTCATCATCATCATTCTTATCATTCTTATCACAACCACCACCACCATCATCATCACCACTATCACCACCATCATCATCATCATCACCATCATCATCATCATCATCATCATCATCATCATCATCATCATCATGATCATCATCTTCATCTTCGTCATCATCATCAACAACATCATCGTCATCAGCATCATTCTCATCATCGTCACCAGCTTCATCACCAGTGTAGCATCGTTTGAGGACCTGTGCGCGATGTCCGATTTCGAGGTTGCCGCGGCGACCGTGGCGGCCACACATCGAGTCAAGGTTTTGCCAGGGTGTGGCAGGCCCCTTCCCAGCCCCCCCCCTGAATCTGCGAGGCAGATGTGCCTCACATAATTGACGTTCTGGCGACAGGGAGTGGCCCATATGCAGGCCCAGCAGGGGCAGCCACGTTCCCCTCATGGTGCTTGCACTTGGACCTTTTCTCACTTCTGTGAAGTCGGGCCTGTCCCTCTAGAGGGGGAAGATTGAAACGCACGCAAAAAGTAGTCCAGGGACGATGTTTACAAATATGTTCAGGCTTTTTTTGAACATTTTTCTCGAGTTTCTTAGATTTTTCGTCCCAGATCCGCCTGTAGGGGGACACGCTCGACTTGACACTTCTGCTCTGACGAATTCGGCTCCGCCCAGCGTCTCGGGGCCTGGGCGGCGGTCTGGCGGCTTCGCGCTCGCCGTCGCCAGCCCGTCGTCGCCGTCGCCGCCCCGTCGCCGCCCCGCGCAGATGGCACCGCACAGATTGCACCACATAGCGTGCAATACATTGGTTCTCCTTTGAATAAATCAGAGGAGGAAAATGTACCCATACCTCTACTCTTTCCTCGATTTCCCCTTTTTGGGCCTCCCGGGAGGCCCTCGTCGCCACTGCCGGATTCGCCTCGAAATTTTGGTCAGAACGCACAGGAGAGGTCCGGGGAGTAGGCTCTCCCCCCCCCTGCTTTACCGGTACATTTTTTGCGTGTGTGTGTGGCAATTTGCATATGATTCTGCCCCATCGTCCGTCCTAAATGTGAATTCGTACCATCCCAGCCGAGCCGGGTTCGACCCCCCCGCCATCCTCTGCAAAAGATTCGGCTAGACGTAAGAGTGACCTTTCGCCGGAGTGACCTTTGGTGCGGGCACAGATGGGCCCCCAGATGGCCGAACGCGAAGCGGTAGCAGCGGCCAGGGCGCCCAGATTTGGCTTCCCCGCGGCCCCCCAAAAGCCGCGCACCAAAGGTCACCCTTACCCAGGGTCACTCTTACGTGTAGCCGAAAGATACTGTGCGCGCGCACTCGTTTATCAAAAGTTGTAAGTTTTCAAGAACCCCTGCGAGAATATGAGAAAGTGTACACGCGCGCGACGTCGCGCGCGCATGCCGAAATCTTTCGAAGACCCTTCAATTTCGGAAGGATGTCAACAACACATGGTTCTGCATCACGGATTTTCCAGGAAAAAACCTGCGAGCGCTCTTGCGAATTCTTGAGGCAACCATCGGTTTTCAATATTTTCAGAAAATGCTACCAAACGGGCTTCGCGCGCGCATGTCGAAATCGTTCGAACGGCCGTGCCGTCACGAGAATTCTTTGCAACAAATGGGACGAAGTGCGCGCGCGCTCGCCGTCGCGCGCGCATGCCGAAATCCTTCAAAAACCTTTAGTGCCGCAGCGACTTCAAAACATAATTTCAGACAGCACATTCAAGATCACATGGTTTCGCAACATCAGTTTTCAAAAAAGGTTGCGCGCGCGCTCCTGCGAATTCTCAAGAGAACCACCGGTTTGTTTCAACCTTTTCCTGGAATTCTGCGAAACGGGCCTCGGGCGCCGCATGCCAACATCATTCGCACGCCCTTGCGCGCGAGCTGGGGGGGTACGGTCCGTTTCAAATAATACCTTGCGGGCCACTCTCACGCGTCGGCCCAAAACCTTCATCGCCGACGCGAGGACGCCGTCATCGTCGTCCGCGTGATCAGCATCGGCGCCCGCATTGGCCGCGCCTTCGTCAGTGCGAACATCGTCACCAGCATCGCTACTATCACCATCGTGTCTACCGTTGTTGGCGTTGCCATGATACCGCGCCGGCCCAAATCGCCGACTCGCAGTGCAGTGCCCGCTGGGATGCGCCCAGCGGTCAGCGCCACCGCGGCCGCGTCGGTGGCGCCAAGCTAGCTGGCCGCGCGGCCGCAGAAGTGCACCAGCCAACGCCAAGCATGCATCGCAATCGCCACCGCGTGGGTTTTGCAAAGCACGTTGCGGATGGGCGGGTGGGTTGCTTGCAAGAGCATGGGATGTGTCAATTCGTTCGTTAAAAATCAACAGCACCACATGGGATGCACCGCATAAGTTGCACCACGTAAATCGCACCACGCAGAGTGCACCACATCGATTGCATACCATAGTACGCACGATCTATATGAGAGGTATTGGAATGCACAACATATATGGCACAATAGAGGCTGCTCTGAATAAGTTACACCACGTGGACTGCACCGCATACACAACACCGCATGAATTGCACCACGCAGGTTGCCCCATGTAGACTGCACAACATCTATTGCTAGAACACACCATTTGAGGTCCGCGCCTGCTTGCACATGTTTAGGGCTAAGGGTCGCATATCGCGCGAGCAGAGAAGGCCCTCCCACAACACGAGCCTCATCACCATCCAACATCGTCCGTCGTGCTATCTTCGAAGGGGCCCGCCCGCGCGCAGCCCACCCATGCCGCGCGTGCGCCGCGGGGGCGCGCGCGGCTGGAACAAGCTCCGCGCCGGAGATGGGCGCCGGTGCGTCGAGCATCAAGGGGCTGAGCGTGCAGCAGGCGCCCTGGGGGCCCAGTCTTCGGGAGGGGTGGGAGGTTGACTCCCCCCTCCTCTCGCTTCCCCCCCTCCTCTCGACGAAGAAAACATGCAATGAAAAGAAAGTTTTGGCCATCTGTGCGGGTTTCTTGGATCCGCGCTGGGCCCCCTCCCCCGGCGGCGCCTCAGATCCAAGAAGTCCGCGCGGACCAGCGACAGTAATATGTTTATGCCGTTTTCTTGTTGTCCTTCTATCCTCGCCCTCCTGCCCGTTGTCCTCCTCGTCCTCCTCGTCGTCCTCCTCCTCGTCGTCCTCCTCATCTTCGTCCTCCTCCTCCTCCTCCTCTTCCTCCTCGCTCGCTCGCTCGCTCGCTCGCTCGCAGCGTGCCTAACTGGTCAGGAAGTGTGGGATATAGCGTGCCGCTCCGCCGGAGCTGCTGGCCCACCGCGCCTCCTCGGCGCGGCACGCTGTATCCACTGCGCGGTGCGCTAGCGCGCCGATGTCCCCAGTCCTCTCCGAGCCTCCCGCCTCGCGGAGCGGAGGCACATGCCATCGGCGTCGCCGCAACACACGAACATTCAGTGTGCGTCCCCCCCCCCCCCAGGGACGACACGCGCACCGAGAAAAATCTTACAGTATGTGCGTCGTGGCGGGGGCTTTCTGGCTACACCGCTCGGGAAACGATCTGATACAAGGTGGGCGTGCTATATGCTCAGATCGAACACGCCCCTCCAAGGAGGACATCTGGTAATAATGTCCCTGTGCGTCCCACATGCCATCGGCTTGCTGCCAGGCATAGCGTACCACATGCCATCGGCTTGTTGCACGGGTAATCATGTCTCTGTACGTCCCACATGCCATCAGCTTGCTGCCAGGCATAGCGCGTCGCCGCGGCCGCCGCCGCGACACGCGAGGCTAGAGTTGCCGACCGCAGAGGCTCCGGCCTGCCGCCTACACCCCAAGAGAAGGGCGAGGAGAGGCGGCAGCAAGGCGCAGTCCTTGCCCCTTTGCCCAGCTCGAACATAGGAGTCCAGGCAGGAGGTGGGGACGGGAAGGGGGCCTCTGGTGGTCCTCGTGTGTCCCCGCGGGGGCCTCTCGGAGGTGCCCCCCCTTTCTTATTATGCGCGTCTCTTTTCCGTCCTGGGAGGGGGCGCGGCGCCCGCCGCGAACTTGCCTGCCGCGATGCTGGGACCTCCACAGTGCGGCGCTGCCCTTTGCCCTTTGCCCCCTCCTCCTCTTCCTCCTCCTTCCTTCCTCCTGCTCTTCTTCCCTTCCTTTTCCTCCAGCTCCCTCTTTTCCCCCTTCCCTCCTCCATCCTCAAGGTTAGGGAAGTGAGGTTCCTGGGCCCCTGGTGACCTCAGACGGCCTCCTGTCCCTCCTCCGTCTCCTTCCCAATTGCTCGGCTGGGCGAGAGCGAGCGTGCCCGTGCTGCACAACCTCGGCCACGAGCACCGCGCGTCCCCCAAGGCACAGGCTCTCGATTTCTGAGAATACGGCCTGTGACTCGCTCAAGACCAGGAAGGCCGCCGACCTAGCGCAGGACGAAAATGGATGGAGAGCGAGGAGGAGAAGGAGGAGGAGGATGAGAAGGGGGGAGGAAGAGCAGGAGGCCTTCGGAGGTCTTGGTCACTGATCCTGCTGTCGACTGACTCTTTTCCGAGACTTCCGGAAGGTTCGCGGTGCCTTCCGAAGTTGCCTTGGGGCCGGGGCGCGCAAGCCCGAATTTCGCATCATTCCTGGGGCGTGCGCAGGCATCTTTTTGCGGGGCCGCTCCAGGCAAACTTTGGCGCCCTCCGCCTGCGTCGCGGCCACGCTCCTCGACGTCAACCTTGCGTGGCATGAGCCGACACATGCATCGTTGCGGCTGGGTGGTAATTACGCCCCTGGAGTGGCAGAGCGGTCATCCCTTTTCCATCCTCCCTGCTTCCCTCCCTCCCTCCCTCCCTCCTCCTCCCTCCTCGCTCTCCTTCTCCTCCCTCTCCTTCTCCTCCCTCTACTCCTCCCTCCTCCTCCTCCTCCTCCTCCTCCTCCTCCTCCTCCTCCTCCCTCCTCCTTTCATCCTCATCCTCCTCCCTCGTCCCCCTCCTCCTCCTCCTCCTCCTCCTCCTCCTCTTCCTCCTCCTCCTTCTCCTCCTCCTCCTCCTCCCTCCCTCCCTCCTCCTCCTTCTCCTCCTCTTCCTCCTCCTCCTCCTCCTCCTCCTCCTCCTCCTCTTCCTGGCTGCACGACTGACTCTGGCTCTGGCGCCCCTGCGCGTCTGTTGTTAGCGCCCGCCTGCTCTGTCTGCCGTGCGCCTTGCGTTTACGTTGTGGGTCGAGCTGCCACTACGGTGGCAGCTGGCGTTCTTCTCGCCAGTTCCCGTGCTGCATTTTACTTTCGAGCCCACCTTGTCTAGGTGGGCGCCGCTGCTGTGCATGTGCCGTGGTCGCCCTCGTCTCAGTGTAGTGGTGTGCGAGCCGTTGTGGCTCCTCTTTTGACTTGGTTCCACTGTACAGTCGTGGAACTCGTTGTCACCCCCCAGAGAGCTCGCCCACCTGGGGGTGCATGTGGGCTACATTCGCGTGGAGGTTAACAAATCCTGGTCCTCCTCTTTCTCTTCTTCCTTCTCCTCCTCCTCCACCTCCTCCTCCCGGTCTACGGGGACGCTCTGCCTCCTCCTCCTCCTCCTCCTCCTCCTCCTCCTCCTCCTCCTCCTCCTATTTTCGTCCTCCTCCTATTTTCGTCCTCTCCTCCTCTCCTCCTCTCCTCCCTTCCCCTCTATCATCCAACCCTCCTCCCGTTCCTCACCCTGTCGCCCGGCTGGGCGAGTCACCCCTGGAGCGGCTGCTCGAGCACCCCCGAAATGGCTCGCCCCCAGGCTGGCCAGTGTCGGGCGAGGGAGTGCGGCGGCGCTCATGGAGTGCCTCTGCTCTTCCTCCCCGGAGCCCCACACGGACCCGCCGCCGCTCGCAGTGCAGCCCCGAGGGCTTCGGAGCAGCGATTGTGGCTTCCAGCACGGAGACGCTGCATCATCGGTCTCCCGAAGGGCCTCCCAGAGCCAGCAGCCCGAGGCACCTACCGGGTGCGCAGTGCGGGTCGCGGTCGCAGTCTCCCGGCGCCAGGCTTCCTCGAGCCCAGCGCCCACATTGCGGCTTCACCAACCATCGGGGGGGGGAGGGTGCAGCAGCGCGTGAGGGGATGGGGGGAAGTTCGCTGCGCACGCGGGCGCGCTGGGGTTGCGCACGCGGCAGGCGCCTGGCACGCATGAAGTGGGGGCTGCTGGCTTGCGCCATGGCCGTGCTCTGGCCGGCGACGCAGATGGGATCGCCAGACTTGACGAACGAACAACGCACTCGGAGGTCGATAGACCTCCTACCCTGACACGTCGATTAGCGCATTGGCCGTTTTCGGTTCGCGCGAGGGCGTCGCGGCCGTCATTTTTGCGGGTCCAGGTCCGTCGGTTTCGGTCCCAGGCCATTTTCCTTAAAGGGTGGTTTACTGAAGGGAGGCTTGTCCCCCGCCGAAATACATACACCCATACCCATAAGTGGGACAGGCGGGGCTCTGGGTGCGTGTTGTCGGATGGGGGTCCCCGCTCGAACGGAAGCCTCCGCAGGGGTCCGACAACCCGTACCCATACCCATAGCCAGTCCTCATCTCTCAGACCTCCCGATGGGTATGAGTGTGTGTGTGTGTGTGTGCGTGTGTGTGTGTGTGTGTGTTTTTCGTTCGTCCAGGCTGAAGAAGCTACAAGGCAGAAAGGTCGACGCGGGAGGGATCTCGCGTATCCGATGCCGTTTCGTCGAAACGTTTCCGAAGCCGTTGGGCCATCGGCGCGTGAGCACCGTTTTGAAGGCCCTGCTCTCGGGACCTGGTGTCTGGCAAGGGCCCCGACCCTCCCAGAGACCACGAGAACTACCAGGTGATCACAGGGCGCACGCTCGCAGAGCGGTCGGCAAAGGGGTCGAGAGCGGCACGGCCTGGGGCTGCACCTCGCCATCCGAGAGGAGCCCTGTGGCGAGAGAGAGAGAGAGAAGGAGAAGTTAAGACATACTATACGCATTTGTGTATATATATATATATATATATATCCCTATTTATATATATATATATATATAATATATATATATATATATATTTACAGGGCCAGGGACCCCGGAAAAGCGGCACACGGTGCCCCGCCCACCCCCAAAACGAATTTCGGCCTCCCCGAGCCTTTGGGGCGCTCCTGCAGAGTGCTCCGTGTCTGTCCTGCGAGTGCGACGCGAAAAAAAAAAACCCACGACTGCCAACGAGGGCCCCGAGACACCCAAAGATCGGCCCAAGACGCCCAATCTGGGCCCAAGACTGCCCAAGACGCGTCCAAGACGCCCCCAGAGACCCCCAAGAGGCCTCCCAAGAGAGCCCCGAGAGGCTACAATTGTTGATTTTCCTGTGTGTTTTTCGATGTTTTTGGCCTTCTCACTTTTCCCGCTTCCCGACGCTCCACAATGGCCCAGGAGGCTCCCTAGATCGCCCCAATACTACCCAAGAGGCCCCCAAGAAGGCCCCAACACGGTCCAGGAGGGCTCCGAGACCGCCCAAGAGGCGCCCAAGACGGCCCAAGAGAGCACCAAGACGGCCCCAAGAGAGACCCAAGAGGGCGCCCAAAAATTCAAAAACTAAATTTTCCGCCGCGAGAGGGCCCCAAGAGGCCCGGCGAGATCCCCATGAGGCCCCAAGAGGCTCCCAAGAGGCCCCAAGGAGCCCCCAAGAGGCCCCCAAGAGGCCCCCAAAAGATCCCAAGAACCCCAAAACACCCCCAAGAGGCTTCGAAACAGCCTCCCAAAGGGCCCCGAGAGGCGCACCACGAGATCCCAACACAGCGGTCTCCCCCTCTCATTATCCCTTCTCTTTGTCGTCGCCTTCTTCGTCGTCGTCGTTGTCGTATCAAATGGCGCAGCGAGGCCATTTTTCGTTCAAACCACCGAAGGACCCAAGAGCTCCCCCTCCTCTTCCTCATTCTCTTCCTCCTCTACCTCCTCCTCCTCCTCCTCCTCCTCCTCCTCCGTCGTCGTCGTCGTCGTCGTCGTCGTCGTCGTCGTCGTCGTCGTCGTCGTCGCCGTACTAATCTTGATTGTCTCTCCCCTCGTCCTTCACCCCTCCTCCCTCCTCCTCCGAGAGAGAGGAACCGAGAATGGAGGATCAAGGTTTTCGGACTGTTTGTTCTGGGGGGTTTTCCGGCCTGGGGATTTCCTTTCGTATCTGCGACTCGCAGGAAGCGTTTTGGGGGCGCCGGAAACGTCGCGAACGGCCCCCAGAGGCCCGAGTCATGGCCCGAAACCACGCGGGGGCATCAAGGGAGGAGAAGGAGGGGGGAGGGAGGAGGAGGACGAGGGGGAAAAGGGGGGCGAGGACGAGGAGGAGGGGGACATGGGGGAAAGAACGAAGACGATGGGGAGGGGGATACGGGGGATTGAGCACCTGGACGCGGTGCCCTTGCCTACCTTACCGGAGAGGGCCGGCCGAATCCGAGGAACCCCTGGGGGATTTCAAAACCTGCGCCGCCTCTTGCACTACCTTCGGGCCCCCCTGGCGGCTTTAGAAAAACCGTTCCTAATTCGGGGGGGGGGGGGGTTCTCTCACTTTTTGCCGCTCGACTCGCAGAGAGGCCGAGCGGCGCCGCGCCGCGCCGCCAAGGATCGGGAGAGTGGACAAAAAAAGAAGCGGAGAGGGGGGAGGGGAAGAGGGGGAGGAACAGGGGGAGGAGGAGGAGGGGGAGGAGGAGGAGGAGGAGGAAAAGGGGAAGGAGGAAGAGGAGATAACGGAAAGTAGTCTAATCCGGTTCGCCAGAGATATGCTCGCAACTCCAACCTCGAAAGCGCCTTACTTCGCATCGGTCCCGCCGTTTTCGCTTGAGACATCATCGCAGCTCTGGGGCCCGAGACACTCTCAGTTGAGGCGTTCCAGCCACTGTCGCCGGAGACACTCTCGCAAGTCTCACTTCGGAGGTGCCTTGCACCATGGCGGTTCGGCCACTTTCGCCCGCGACTTCTCGCAACTCTAAGTTCAAGGATGCCCTGGGCAGAGGTGTTCAGATCGCTCCTCGCTTGAAACTTCCTCGCGCGGCTGACTTCGGATATGCCCTCCCCTCAGAGGAGGCGGTCAGGCCATTTTCACCCGGGACGTCCTCGCAACACTGACCTCGGCGACGCATTGCCCCGCGGTAGGTCTGACCAGGTTTGCCTGAGACCCTCGCGCCTTTTAGTGGCGCGATGATATGAGCAATTGGTCAGGCCACTACCGCCTGATATACGCATGCGTCTGCGCGCACACGGTTACACTGACCATTTGCATATACACGTACATATCCATGCAAACGTATATATATATATATATATGTACACATGTACTATGCATTCATAGACGCATGTGCGCGCGTGTACGCACGCTCGCACTCCGCTGGCGTGCGAATTCCAAAGGACAAAGGTGCATGGCGCGCAACGCCAATGCAGTCTTGAATATACATATGTATATATACACACGTGAAGGTCTGTATATTGATATAGATGTAGACATGGATACGGTTATATATGTACACATGAATATATGTATAGTCGTATAGATCTAGACATGGATATTGATATATGTATATGTATATGTATATATTTATTTATATTTATATTTATATATATATATATATATATAAAAAGAGAGGGGGTCGGGGGACGCCCGCCGCGAGCGCGCGCCGGGCCCTCGAAGGGAGCCCGAGGCCCCGGCAGGACGGCCGCGCGCCGCGCCCCGGCCGAGGCCGCAGCCGAGGCCGCAGCCGCCCGGCGGCCCAGCCGGGCCGCACGCGAGCGGCCCTCGGAGGCGGTCCATGCTGGCCTTCACGATCGAGGGATATAAACAACACATCCACGTCTGGAAGAAGAATCATAGTAATAATCATTGTAATAATAATAATCTTAATAATAATATCTTAAAAATATTATTAGTAATAATAATGATATTAATAATAGGAATAATAATAGTAGTAATAATACTTGTGCTAGTCATAAGAAGAAGGAAGAATATGAATCATACGAATAAGAAGAACACGAGGAAGGGCTCGGACCTCTAGCAGAAGAACGAGCGCCGTAAACACGAACTGTTAGCGCTCCGCGCGGGTTTCTCGGATCCGCGCTTTCGGTCCCCCCTGAGCCTCAGGATGGTGGAGGATGGAGCTTCGACGAGGAAAAACACACATGAACATAAACTTGTAGCGCTCCGCGCGGGTGCGCTCGGTCCCCCTGGCGGCGCCTCCGGCGCCGCCCCTGGCGCGCTTCGCGCGCCAGGGAGGGGAGTCCAGCGCAGATCCAAGAAGTTCGCGCGGAGCGCCAAAAAATTATGATTATCTGTTTCTTCTTCTAAACATGCCCCCTGGACATGGGGTGTCGTCGGAAGGAAGCGGCTAACCAGAAAGAGGAAGGCATATTCACAGTGACGCTGCCTCACCGCGAGGCAGCCAAAGCCCGCACGGCTTGAGGTGGACGGGCTCGCGCGAGCGATGACCCCCGCGAATCCGATCCTGCCCCTGGGCTCACGGATGGGCTCACGTGATCAAGGGGGCCACATGTGGCCCCCTTTACGTGAGCAGAACCCCACGCATCCGATCCTACCCCAGGGTTCGCGGATGGGTTCACGTGAGCGAACCTCCTTTGCCTCCCACCCTGAAGCACCCCGGGGGGCTTGCCATCGCTCGCGCAGAGGGCCCCTAGTCCGCCCTACCCTCCCTCCGCACCTCGTCGCGTCGCTTTCGCGACTTCTTCCTGCTCTCAAGTCGGGCCTGTCCCCCTGCAGGAGGAATAAGGAACAATTGTCAACGAACAGTCTGGGGATGATTTTTCTGGTATGTTTTAGACTATTTCTGATTATGTTTTGGATATGTTTGTCTTTCGTCCAAAATCCGCCTGCAGAGGGACATGCCCGACCTAATCCTGCTCCTGCTCACCATCCCGGCGTCGCACTCCTCACGTCTCGCACCGCTCACTCCTCGGTGGGGGGGCAGGCGCAGGGGGGGTCTGGCCACCCACAGGTCATCGAGCTGATCGCGGAGTACTTTCACAGGCGAGGAGCGGGGAGGAGGAGAAGGGCCAGCTCTTCTTCCCAAACAGAAAGGAGTCACCCTATTGCGGGACTCGTTCAGTGCATCTCAAGCACGCTGCGCAGCGGTGGTGCTAAACAAGTGTTCCTCCTCCTCCTCCGCTCCAGGGAGAGCTGCCAGAAGCGGAGGTCTTGGGCGCTAGTAAGAGAGGGAGGAGCGAAGAGACGCGAGTAGCGAGGAGCGAGGAGGAGGGCGACGAGGAGGTATGAGGTGCGAGGTCTGGGATGGGGAGGAGGATGAGCCAGAGAACCGGCAGCAGCAGCAGCAGCGGGCGCTGGGCGTCTTTGCCCAACCCCTGTGCTCGAGCGCGCCTTCCGAGCCCTCGCGTGGGGCCTCTTCGTCCTCCTCGTTCTTCTCTGCCCCACGACCTGGCATCGCTCGGACGTGTGCATTTTTTCCTCGGCGAGGACCCTGGAGGAGCATCCTGGAGTATCGAGCAAACAAAAACACGCACGAAACCGAAAAATGCACAGGGAATGGACGTCCAAGCGATGGCAAGAGGAGGGGGGCGCGGGCCCGGGGGGGGACCTCGCCGCGCCGGAGCAGAGGGCCGCGCTCCCTCGTGCACGCGGTCGGGAAGTGCGAGCCCGAGCGGCCTCCTGGCCGGCGTCGTCTATTCCTCCCTCCTGCGCAGCGGCGTGGGAGCGTGGGAGCGTGGGAGAGTGAGTCCAGCCCTCCCGGAAGACCGCGGGCCTTCTGCCGTGGGAGGCCTTCGTGAGAGGGGGCTGGGCGTTCCGAGGCAACCCCCTGCCGTGTCAGAGGGCTGCCCCCCCCGTCGCTTGCCCTGCCCCTTTTTGTCCGCGCCGCCAGTCCACTCTTCCCCCTCTCCCCCCTCCTCATCTTCCTCCTTCGCGGGGTGCCTTCGTCTTCCTCTCTGCCCCCTCCCCCGCGCCCGTCTCTCCGATCTTCCCCTGCCTCAGTCGGAACTTCACTGTGAAGAGCGCCTTCTCCTTCCTCGACAGAGACGACTCGGGCTCCCTTGTCTTCGAAGAGTTCTTGCGCGGCTTCCGCCTGTGCACGGAGGCATGCGCAACACCTGAGAGGAGGTGGTGGAAAGAAGGACGTCGAGGGGAGGGGCAGGAGGAGGAGGAGGAGGGCGCCTGGAGGAGGAGGAGGAGGAGGAGGAGGAGGACCAGAGTAAATCCACGAGTCATCAACGATGTTGGAATAAATCCTCCCTCCAACCTTCCTCTTCATGGGCCCCTACAACGGTTCATGTCCACGGAGGGAACTGCCTCGTTGGAAGGCAACCGTTTGAAGACTCTTCAGTAAAGTATGCTAAAACATGGTTCTCGGGTTTCCAACGCCACGGAACATCTTGACTGTTGCGTCTTGACGATCCTGAGTCGTGCCAGAACGCCACTCATGGGACTCCAACACCGCGAACCAACGTAATGGTTGCACCCTCGTAATCCAGAGTCCTTCGAACACGCCGTTCCTGATACGCTGATCATTGGGAGCCCGTGAGACTCTTTGCAAGGTTCAGAAACGAAGGTGCGCGGCGCTAAGGGCGATAGGCAAGGCATCGGATCCAGAAGTGTTCCCTGCGCTGGGAGCGAGAGCGCCTACTCCACATTTCGTAATAAAGGGAGGGGGGGTCTCATTTCGGGGGGGGGTCTCTTCCAGGCTATCTTGGAGGGCCTGGGGGGTCTGGGGACGATGTTTTGGAGGGTTCTCCCACGGGGGAGGTCGGAAATGGCTTGTCTTGGAGGGTCCAGACCCCCTCCCTTTTGTTTCGAAATCTGGAGCACCTCAACACGGGACCACGCGCCGATCCCGAAATGTGACCAACGCAGCAGCAGGAACACAATCTTTGAAAGACCGAGAGCGATCCGACCAACACCGAGCCGCTGGAAACACCAGAAAATTGAAGCCCCGTCTGCGAGCAGAGCAGTGCGCGACAGAGGTAAGAGCACGCTGGGGCACTGCCAGGGTAGGGGGGGGGAGCAGTACTCACAGTGTGTGACAGTGAAGGAGGGGAAGGGTGACGGAGGAGGGGGGGCGAGGCAGAGAAGATTTAGAGCCAAGAAGTTGACATAAGAAGCAGTTCGGGTTTAGAAGGGGCTCGTTGTTCCCCGACCACGACCACGGCCGCGACCACCGCGTTCACAGTTTACTTCTCACCACGGCCACCACCACGACCACGACCACAGTAACCATGGTGACGGTGACGAGGAGGAGGGGGTGGAGGAGGAGGGGGAGGATGCGGAGAGAAAGAGGGACAGTGGAGTACATCGGGGTCGAGAGCGCGCGTGCGCCTTCTAATGTTCTGAATGCGCTGTGGCATCCTCCTCTGTCCTCCTCCGTCTCCTCTTCCCCCTCCTCCCTTTCCTCCTCCCTTTGCAATTACACAATATGAAAATACTCTCCCACTTCCCCTGATGGCGTCCCGAAGATATCCGACACCCCCCCGCGTATTGTTTTTTAAACAGGATTCCCGGGGAACGGGTTTTCGCTTGTGTTTTTTTCCCCAAAATGCTGCTCTCGCTGAGGCGCCGGCCTCATTTCTGCTCCCGAATCGTTCCGAATCGTGCTCCCGCTGCAGCGTGGGCCTCATTTTCGGATCGGTGTTTGGCCTCCGTCGTTCAGGATGGCGTTCTCGCCCCAGCGCGGGCCTCTTTCTCGCGCGCCCATCCGCCCGCCACCACCACCACCACCACCACCACCACCACAACCACCACCAGCACCACCACCACCACCACCACCACCAGCACCACCACCACCACCACCACCACCACCACCACCACCACCACCACCACCACCACCACAACCACGCACACACGCACGCACGCACGCACGCGCACCACCACCCACTACGCACGCGCGCGCGGAGCCACAAGTCCGCTACGACACGCGTCCGCGGATAGAGAAAATCAGCGCCATGGTAAGGGATGGGAGGGAGGGGTAGGACGTCAGATATGACGCGAGCGCACCTAGCTTGCCTCCTCCCCCTCCTCCTCCTCCCTTTCCTCCTCCCCCTTATGCGGATGTCCTGTCCTTTCCTCCTCCCCCGTCCACCACCACATCCGCTCCTTCAGAAGAGCCGCGGTGCGTTTGTTTTACCCCCAAGAAACATGGAGCGTTGGCAGTTTTTTGTTCGAGATGGGGGAAGGGGGGCAGCACACTGATTCTATAGTACGGACCCCTTTACTAAGGAGTACCTGCTGAGGATTCGCGCGACAGGTGCTCGCCCCAGGGTCCCGCAGCATGAATTTCTCAGTAAGGACTCCCTACACCAAGGGTTTGTTACTAAGGATCCCCGGTTAGTGGTTCATTGCTACCGATCCTTTGCGAAGTACTCCTTGCTGCGGTTTCCTTCTTTCGGATTCCTTACGAAGGACTCCTCCCTAAATAGCCATTGATGTTTTGGTAAGGAATCCCCATCCCTACTAGGCGTTCCCGCATGCGGTTTCCCGAATACAGACTTCAGTAGGAGGATGTCTTGCTGAGGGTCCCTTGCTACGGATTCCTGAGCATGGACCCCCGACTCAGGAGCCACGATCAAAGGACCCCTGGTTATGATGCAGAGCCTACGCTGGTTGACCAAGACATACCAAGGTTTGCCAGGGCGGGGCACAGCTTACCAAGGACGTGCCCGGGCCTGCCTAAGCTGAGGATTGCTTCGCTAATCTGAGCAAGACTTAGCAGGACTTAGCTGGGCTTCGCCAGGCTTAGCAGTGCGCAGCAGAGAACGCCAGCGAGTTGGAATGCTTACCAGAGCTTGGCGTGGCTTGGCAGGGCCTATAAGGGTTTTGCTAGGCTGAGCAACGTCTACCAGGGCTCAGCCAGGCTTATCAGGACTTGGCAAGGCTTGCGGGACTTAACTGGGCTTAGCCAGGCTTTCCAAACCTAGCAGGGTTTTGCAGAGTGTTCCAGGGCCCAGCACGACTTACCATTTCTCAGCAGTGCCCAGCAGGCCGTACAAAGAACTAGCAGGGCTTAGCTGAGCTTGCCAAGGGTGGGTAGTGCTTAGCAGGGCCTGGCCGGGCTTAGGAATGTTCACCAGGGCTTAGCAAGGTTGTCCCAGGCTTTTCAAGGCCTACCAGGTCTCAGCAGGGCCCCAGGCTTCGCAGGGCCAAGCAAGGCATCGCAAAGCTTGCCAAGGCTGAGCAAGTCTCAGAAAAAATGATCAGCAGGCTTAGCGAGGCTTGCCAATCCTAGTTGGGCTGGGCGCAGCAGTGCTCGGCAGGGCGTTCCAGGACTTGGCAGGGCTTGGCAGACCTTGCGAGGCCTTACCAGTGCTCAGAAAGGCCCAGTACGGCCCAGCAAGGTTTTCCAAGACTCAGTCGGGCTTGCCAAGTCTTAGCAGGGATTAGCAGGGCTGGGCAAAGCTTAGCAGGACTTCAGGCTTCGCAAGGTTTAGCACGGCTTCGCAAAGCTTACCAAGACTGAACAAGACGTTGCAAGGCTTGCAGGGCGTATCCAGACTTTAGCAGGGCTTATCAAGGCCCACCACGGTTTAGCTGGGCGCACCATAGCGTACCAAGGCAAGGGGGGGACTTACCAGGGCTTACCAAGTCTTAGCAAAGCTTAACAGGGCTGAACAACACTTAGCATGGCTGAGCAGTGTTCAGCAGGGCTGACCAAGGCTTATGTACCAGAGCGTAGCAGGGTTCAGCAGAGTTTGGCGCAGCTTAACTGGGCTGAGCAAAGCTTAGCAGGGCTGAGCAGGGTTTTGCAGGGAGCAGGGGGCCACCAAAGCTTAGCACGGCAGAGCGAAACTTACCAGGGATGAGCCAGCGAATGTTGCAAATTGGTGTCGGGCAGAGCTGGATAGTGAAGGACAATAGAGTGAGCTAGCTCAAGAGGGTGAGCAGAAAAAGAGGGAAACAGACAGAGGGATAGAAAGAGAGAGAGAGAGAGAGAGAAAAACACACACGAGAGAGAGCGAGAGAGAGGAACAAGCAAGAGAGAGAGGGATAGAGAAAGAGTGGTATAGTTAATGACGAAGAGAAGGGAGATGGCTTACGACAGCTCCCCTGGAACACAGAAGTACTCCACAGTCCCTTGGCTTCGAGGAGGAGGAGGTGGAGGTAGATGAGGGGGACATGACCACGACGTTTCGCGCCGTGGCCATCCGCGCCGCTGCGATCTGCCGCGTGATCGCGCGACCCGACCGCGCGGAGGGATCGGCTAGGCCAGCCACGTATGCAATTCCTGCCCGCCAGGACTATCATCTTCTGGGAATAAAAAGCAAGACACCGAAACCTGCACGGGGAATGGACGTCTGAGCGATGGCGAATTATTCACCCCTTACGTGACCCTCCATGCTCCCACTCCGCCCTCCTGTCGTGCTCCCCCTGCCCTTCCATGTTTTCCCTCCACTCCCTCACCGTTCGTTCCCTCCCCTGGCCGTTCCTGCCAGCGCGACACCACATCAGCGAGCCAGTCCTGCGTCGCCGTGGTCGCTCCACAAATGACACTGTCTCACGATCCGAAGATATGACTGCTGGTGTTGCGGGGCAGGTCTTCGAGTCGGCGTTTCAGGGCAGCTTTGAGAGTGGCTGGCTGACGATCTCTGACAATATGCAGTAAGTTGGTGGTGTCTTCCGCGTCCTTACGGGTCGTCGTATTGCCTCTCGCTTGCGCAAGAGGGGGCTTCCTGTGCGCTATGTCAAGGTTCTTGACGTATCGTTATGGTGCGATCTGGTGCGGATGCAAGTTCTGTGGAGAAAACGCACCATTATGAAGACACATGCCAAATACCGAGCGGGATGTCTCGAAGTTCCGAGCGCACCCTTCGCATGCGCAAGCACGTTCGATGGCGGGTTGTGGACGCGGGGCGCACCTTTATCGCCCTGCTCCGCAGGCCGGGGGATTCCCCAGCCACCCCAGGCTCTCCACGAGCCCCGTATCAACGCAGAGGGTGATGGCATATGGAGGAGCAGCAGGAGGAGGAGGAACACCGAGGACGGATAGCACATTCCAGTGGGAGTAAGCAGGGGCCGGAGGGGAGGGTCGTTCGAATAAGGAGGAGCGGCAGATGGGTAAGACGGCGGCGGCACAGGGGCCTAGAACATTGGATGAAGCAGACTAGGAGTTAGTGGGAGCGTGCGGTGACACCAGTCTCAGCATCTTACCGCATGGACAGGCGGGAGAGAAGGAGATAACGAAGGAGAGGAGGCAGACATGGCGAGGGGCCAGAGCGAGAGATTGGTCGCACCAGGGCATGGGCGCGGACGACGACTATCCGCCAGAGGCGCCCTGGCCTCTGTGCAGACACTTGTTTGAGCAGGGATGAGCTGAGAAGCAGCGCGACACGGAAGGGACACCCCAGCGTTGGGCTCAGCGGTGAATCGGTGGGCAGGTCCCAGCGTGTCAGGTGGAGGAGCTTCACGCACCGTCCCGTCCCAAAACGCACGGCCCGTCCCAAGAGCAGCGACATGCGATTGCATCGATACTTGGCAGGGGGAGTTTGTTTTGTCAGGCGCCGTGCCACCGGGATCTGCTCCTCTGATGTCGGGGGCCTAGAGGTGGACACCGGCACCAAGATCGGCGGTGTGCCTTCACCGAGGGAAGATGATCGGCGATGGTGGTAAGGTTCGGGCTTTCTAAGTGGCCGATCCATCACCATCAACACCAGCATCTGGGAGTATCTTTCTCCGTGGAGGCAAACCCCTGTGTTGGTGCTGGTGCCCATATCAAAGATGTAAGAACAGCACGCTGACTAATGACGTAGATGCTCGAGTGAGCTATCACGAACTTAATGGTAAGCAGCAGGTAGGCGACGACGTTGGTACATCATCTTGCCTGGTTCAGTCAAAAGTTATTCTTTTCCACACCGCAGGATAGTAAGAGCCATCTCGCAAGCAGCCTGGAGCGTGCGGACGCGGTCTCCACGATGCTCCACCCGCGGTCTCCGTGGCGTTGGTGCTGGTGCCCATTTCCAAGCCGTCAATGATGTCGCAGGCCTAGAGGTTGACACCAACACCAATATCGGCGGTGTGCCTCCATCGAGGGGAAGAAGATCCCGATCTCGGTGATGGTGGTCATATTCTGGCCTCCAGGGTGGCCGAAATATTGCCACCAGCACCGACATCTAGGATCATCTTCCCCCTGTGGAGGCAACCCTTTGTGTTGGTGGTGGTGCCCATTTCTAAGCCTCCACCTCCTCCTCCTCCTCCTCCTCCTCCTCCTCCTCCTCCTTCTCTTCCTCCTCCTCCTACTCCTCCTCCTCCTCCTCATCCTCCTCCTCCTCCTCCTCCTCCTCCTCCTCCTCCTCCTCCTCCTCCTCCTCCTCCTCCTCCTCCTCCCCCTGTGTTGGTGCCCATTTCCAAGCCTTCAGTGATGGTCCGTCCGCCCCCCCTTGGGGGCCCCGAGAGTCGCGCGTGGAGCCCTCGCGCCGTGGGCCGACGAGGGGCGGGCGGCGCCGGGTCAGCTCCCGGCCCTGCTTGGGCCGCGGGCGGCCCCCCGCGCGCCGAACCAAAGGGAGGATGGGCCTGCCATCCACCGCCACCACCACCACCCGAAGTTCTAGGGGGAGGGGGCCCTCCTCCTCCTCCTCCTCCTCCTCCTCCTCCTCCTCCTCCTCCCTCCTCCCCCTTCTCCTCGTCCTCCTCCTCCTCCTCCTCCTCCTGCTCGTTCTCCACTTCTCTCCTCCCTCCAACTTCTGGTGGTGGTGGTGGGCAGCATGCACATCAGGGGGGCGTGCCGCGAGCAGCAGAAGCTCGGCGGCGAGCGAGGGGGGAAGCTCGACGTTCGAGCTTCGTCGCTCGTGGCTCGTGGCGTGTTTGGCCATGCTCTCTTCGGCCTCCTGGGGGCGGGTCTCGGGCCCCGGGCCCCGCGAAGTTCGACCTGGAGGGAAAAAAAACGCGTCGAATGGACAGGAGGAGGAGGAGGAGGCGGAGGAGGAGGAGGAGGAGGAGGAGGAGGAGGAGGAGGAGAGGAGGAGGAGGGAGGAGGAGGAGGAGGAGGAGGAGGAGGGGAGGAGGAGGAGGAGGAGGAGAGGAGGAGGAGGAGGAGGAGGAGGAGGAGGAGGAGGAGGGGAGAGGAGGAGGAGGAGGAGGAGGCGGGAGGGGTCCAGGAACCGATGTTGATTGAAATTCGGCGGCGGGGGAGGCGGGGAGGTGGAAAGGAGAAGGCCTTTTTCAGAGGGCGGCGGACTCCTCGGGAGCCCTCGCGCCCTCTGAAAGGTGTGCCGTGTCTTTCGGACAGGCTCAGGGAGCTCTTAGAAGACCGGGGGAGGGGGACTTCCGAGCCTCCTGAGAAATCCCGCCCCTTCTCTTTTCCCCTCCCGCGCTGGCCGCCAGGAAGAGCACTCAGAAACCTGCCCCGGCTCCCCGCTGCGAATGCCTGCGGGCGCAGCGGCTCTCCACGCTCGGCTGCGCAACAGGCAGCATCGCTGCGCACGCTCCAGTAACGGGCCGAGGACGAGGGGGAAGGGTCGTGGGCCAGGTGGGCTTTGCTGTTACGGACTCCCCGTAGGTCATAAACCAACATGTGAAGTCATTCGTGTCAGGAAATTGCCTCTTGCGGGAAAGCGATGTCTGCCGACCAGACATCGAGGACGATCCGAACATCGCTGGAGGCTTGTTTTAATCAAGCAGACAAGCAGGGTATGCTAGCAAGCCTGTAAGCATCTCTCAGCGGCCAGCCCACCGTTCACAGCAGTACGCACATGCCGATAACCACGAGGCCCCAGCCTGCCCTTGGCAGCTCCCGAATTGCGCTTTCCTCGCGCATGGTCCCTCTATGAGAGTGCGTTTTGTGAAGCCTTTGGGAACATGCCGCGCGTACTGCCCCCCCCCCTCCCTTCGCCCCCCCCCTCCCTGTGACGTGACGACCCGCCCCCCCGGTGGGCCCCCAGCACTGCCCCTGGTGCGCACGGGCGCTGTGGTGCCGGAGTCGCACGGCGGGGGAGGGGGTGTGACGTTCTGCCCCCCCCTCCCCCCTCCCCCGCCCCCCCCTGAGATCCGACGTAGCGAAAAAGTTGCAGCATCGTGAAAATCCGCGCCCGGAGCCCCGGACCCCATCTCTCTGCCTCAGTTTTCGAGCCGGATCGATCTGTGAGGGTCCTGGGGCCCGAGAAACACGCGAAAACGCCCGGCTCGAAAACATGGAGTCTCCAGGATCTCAGGGCCCGTCCCCCCCAGAACGCCCGTTCTCGCCGCGAAGAACACCAACTGCTCTCCGTGGAGGCGCGCCTGCTGGCACCAGCTGCTCTCCGTCGCCGGGGTCGGCCTCTCCCGGCGCGGGGGGCGCGCTGCTCGTGGAGCCGCCCTGGCCCGTCACCAGTCCGGGAGGTCGCGAGGCCTCCTCCTCCTCCTCCTCCTCCTCCTCTCTTCCTCCTCCTCCTCCTCTCTTCCTCCTCCTCCTCCTCCTCCTCCTCCTCCTCCTCCTCCTCCTGCTCCTCCTCCTGCTCCTCCTCCTCCTCATCCTCCCCGCTCGGCCCGTGGGCCCTCCCAGCAGACGCCGCAGGCGCTGCACCGCCCCTGCCTCTACGGCCGGGCACTGCTCGACGGC